TAATTACCTTATTTATAAGAGTAAAAATACTCATTCCGTTGGCAAACTATCTCATTTACCTACTCAAATTAAGGGGAAATACACTTAATTTAAGACATTTTTACTTATTTCTAGATTGTTTTTCCAGTGTAGGCGTTACTAGGCAGTTGTCTACACTGCAGAAAATATCTAGAAATAAGTAAAACATTCTTAAAATAAGTGTATTTGCCCCTAATTTGAGTAGGTAAATAAGATGGTCTGCCAATGGAATTAGTATTGTTAGTCTTAAAGGGATAGTTCGGGATTTTTGACATGAATCTGTATGGCATCCCCATCACCAGTGTCATGCAATCACACTGACTTACCCCTGGCAGCGTCCTGTGAGCAGAGTTCTCGTCCAGCTTTGGTCAAGCCGAAAGTAGTCCGGCAGGTTTGCTAGACCCAGCGAAATAAAACGTTTCTCTTCCCAAAACATTATGTGTTCAAAAGAGCGATATTTTTGCATCCCAAAAACATTGTAGTGGAAAAAGTCACACGTCGTTATCACTTGGTCCTATTTTCTCTCTGTTCGTATCAGTGTGCGCCGTCATTCTGACAGCGAGCTCAACAACTGCCAGATGCATGTCTCGCTCCGCCTAGGCGGAGCGAGACATGCATCTGGCTGTTGTCAGGTTAGTAGGCCCTAGCTGTCAGGTCATGGTGTCGCGCACACTGATACGAACAGAGAGAAAATAGGACCAAGTGATAACGACGTGTGACTTTTTCCACTACAATGTTTTTGGGATGCAAAAATATCGCTCTTTTGAACACATAATGTTTTGGGAAGAGAAACGTTTTATTTCGCTGGGTCTAGCAAACCTGCCGGACTACTTTCGGCTTGACCAAAGCTGGACGAGAACTCTGCTCACAGGACGCTGCCAGGGGTAAGTCAGTGTGATTGCATGACACTGGTGATGGGGATGCCATACAGATTCATATCAAAAATCCCGAACTATCCCTTTAAAATAAGATAATTGGATAATATGCACTTGAAATAACATAATAACATTGTTTTTTTCTCTTTTTAAAAATAAATCATTTTGTTCCATTGGCAAAATGTTTCTCTTTCCTCCTCAATTCAAGAACAAATGCACTTATTTTAAGAAAAAGTGACTTATCTAGTTGTCATTTTTTCCAGTGCAGGGCCCCTTGTTCCTGGGGGCCCCATAAAACTCTGTTTATATGGTTTTGATAAAATCCTTTGGCTAAAATGCCATCAGAACGCTGATAATATTAAGTGTATCTCAGCCGCCCCCCCAAGGCCTTTTTACTTTGGCCTTTTTGGAAACACAGGAAGGAGCAATCAGCTAAGTGAGCTGAGTCAGGGGTTGACGTCAAGGATTTTTACTGCTTGCCGTTCGGGCAAGTGACTTTCACATTTAATTTGCCCAGAAACAATTTTTACTTGCCCAGTATAATGTTTGATTAATATATTTCCTAATATTCATTTTTGTATATATATTAATGAAACATGTTTGTTTTTTTAAATGTTTTTTGTAATTCAGTATTTTTTAAGTTTCCAGGTTCCTGGTGTGTATCTGCATGCGTCAGATAATGAACTCAAGCCTACATTACCGTGTTAACATGCTTTTCAAGCCTTCCTGCACATTCTTTTCAAACTAAACTTTGCTTTAAACTGTTGTGTGCTTGGAAAAATATAAATTGTAATGTTAAAAATCTAAAAAAAAATTGACAGGTTAAAAACTTACACTACTACTACTCACCAATCTAACATGTTTAGCTCTATAACATTTAAATTCACCACTCTAATGTCTAAGAGAAAAAAATGTAATGAACATTTTTTTATGTATGACCTGCATCACTGTACAAGAAGACTGCCATATGATAGCCATATTTACACTGTGCGCATGGCATACAATTATGCCAATTTTCCTAATCCCTGACTGATAATTTTTAATCTAGGGTTATCTGGGTGGAGGGTAAAATAGGTGGTGGGTGTGTTACCGTACATACATTTTTTTTGCCTTGTTGTTGTTTTTTAGCCTGCTAAGTCAAAGAAAATGTGTCTGGTTCACGCCAATTCCCGGACAAAAATCACGCCATCTGGTGGAAAATCACGCTGCTTTTTCAAATCACGCTAGAATGTGTACAAAACAACAAAAATTAGCCGGCAACGCTTCTGGGTCGTTTTCATCAAATGTCGGCTATTTTTAAGTAATTTTAAGTGATAAATAATTTTTTTTTTTTTGCGGTCATTGCACTTGCCCGGCGGGCAAATGCAATGCAATTTGTACTCTCCCGACAATAAAAACTACTTGATCGGGAGATTGGGCGAGGGTTAACATCGAGCCCTGTTAGTGCTTGAAAAAAATCTTTCATTCCTTTAGAGACAGCATGAAAAATCAGCTGAGTACAAAACATAGAGAGGAAAACAAGAAGAAAAGGGACAAGAAGAGAGGGACACAACCTAGAACAGATAATGGATGTCTATTCTATTAACATTTCTCTATCTGTAGAATGGGGCTGTTCTATGTGTTGTCTGCTCAGTCCAGAGGGCCCCCCTCCTGTCTTTGTCTAGGGCCCCCAATTTCCTAAATCCGCCCCTGTTCATGTCTCCCTCCTTTTTCTATCTGTATGCTGTGAAAACAGGCCCCTGGCTCCATAACCCATCTAATTAAAAAGTCTGCAAAGTCTGATTGTTTTCACTGTAAGTTGGTGGGACTGTCTAACGTCCCCAAACAGGTTCAAACATCAGACTATCTGATAGTGAGTTGAAAAAAACTACCAGAAAACACAGGAACCATCGAGTCGCAGCAGAACCAGTCCCACTTCTCTCTGGTTCCTATGACAACCAACGTGACATGCAAATGGTGGCGTTACCATGGAGATGCACTTTACTGGATGGCAGCATAACTCAGAGTGTTTGGATGCGATTGGCGTCACCCTCAGACCGTGATGTGTGAGTCAGGGGAGGCTCTGCTGATGTCAGAGCCTGGAAGCTCTGGATCTCCTCCCTGCTGTCTGGTTTGGTCCCTGTTTGCCCTCCTCTGCTGATAATCTGGAATCTGAGGAATTTATCCGCAGATTAAGAGACGACTCTAAAGTCTGAGGTCAGCTTGTAGCTTTCAGTCTAATCTCAAATCAGTTTGTTTATTAGGCCAGGGGGTCAGATGTCATGTTGCCATGGTGACCTCACCTATCACTGCACATCTGTCTCTTTGGATGTAGAGTGGATTACAGCCACGAGCTCACAGCTACAAACCGCAGCTTCCAGCTTTAAACTGGGTTATCACATCTGGTCTTCCCTCGGAGGATCCCAGCGCAGCGAGAGCAAATGTGGGTTAGCACTGAACCCACAGGCCTGTGAGTGGAGCTGGAGTGGTTTGGGACCAGATCATGAGAACAGAACCATTTCTCTACTGGTTGTTTCTCTAAAAGCCACCTCTGCCAGGTAGATTCAAGCAGCGCCTGGCATGCAGAACACTCTCACACACATCAGTGGAGACAGTCTGGAGAAAATAAAGAGAAGCAATCAGCTAAAGTGAATAAAAGGAGCAGTTAATCACTGAAGCAAACATGCAGTTAAAAAAGAGAAAGAAGACAGAAAGATAGTGGGACTTTAACTTATCAAAGCAGAGCATAAAATGGACTCAGGAAAGAGAAGTCATAAACCCTTAAAATGTTAAAATGATCTTATAAGACTCAGTAAAAAATCTCGTCAAAGATGTTATCATCTTTTCTTATTTCTATCCATGTGGTAACAGCTTCTGCAGGGATTTCTTTTTCATTTCTAATTTGCACTAACGATAAAAACACAGCTGGCTGATAAAACATGTATTTCCACTGTAGGATTTCACAAAAGGAAAAAAAAAATCAGATCAGCTGCTCTTTGCCTTGTATGATGTCACCGTTTTTGGGGGAGTAAATGTGACCCTGAATCAAACTATTTCTATACAAGAAATACATAAAATGTTTTTTTTCATTTGTTTAAAAACAGATTTGGGTAATTATTACAAAAGAACATATTTATTTGAGCTCAATATAGTTTATTTCTATAGCTCCAATTCACATCATCTGCTGAGGCCGACTGGGGTTCAAGGAGACAAGCCAGCTCCCATGTCAGGGGATGAAGAGAGCTTATCCAGCCAGTCACAGTCAGAGAAACAGGACTACACTGAAAAACAGGCCAAGCTCCAACATCTATAGACAAAGGTGTTGATGGCAGCAGCACAGCTGATATTTCTCTCCAGGTTGGAGTCACAGCCAAACAGGAACAGACCAGATGAAGCTACTATGAGAAAAAGCAGAGAGAGCAGAATGTTAGAGATTGAACTAATAGATTCTGCAGAGTGGGAGAATAGAGATAGAATGAAGCAGAATGATGGAAAAGGGGTCCCTATGTCCTCCAGCAGTCTAAGCCTATAGCAGCAGAACTATAGAGATAGCTCAGGATAACCTGAGCCACTCTAACTAGAAGCTTTATCAAAAAGGAGCTTGTTGGGTTTGATTGTTTCTGACTGTAGCTGCCTTTGAATCCCTTGGCTTGATGATCTCAGGAAGCTGCTGCAGTTTTTACCACCACCTAGAGGATCTTCTTTATGCCTTCATGGAACAGATTTAGACAAACAGAGAAAGCAGCAGGCACTGATTGAGACGCTGCTGTAACGCTGGTTAATACTGAGCCTAGAAGGCTGCTAAAATGGGCCCTTTCCAGGAATCACAGTTGCCATGGCAGTCGTGACAAAGCAAGCAGTTCCTTCCTGCCTGCAGCTCCGTGTGGCCTGATCCCACCTGACCAATAATCTGTGATGACTCAGTATCTGTATCTTCTCTGTTGGATGGTTTTAATAAGGATGGTGCAGTTATCAGATGTGATCTTCCTGCCAGACTCCCACAGTCAGCATGCAGGACGGTTCTGCTCTGGCCTTCTGGAGGTTTCCCACCAAGTGCTTGATAAGTTTCATGTTTAAAATGAAAGTTAAATGTGTTTTTCTACACTGTTTCCTTCTGTCCTCATCCAGGCTGCAGAGGTGGAGAGGCAGCTGTCCACTCAGGTCCATTCGCTACGAGACGACTTCAGGGAGAAGAGCATCTCTACGAGTCAACACATGACGCGGCTGGAGACTCTACAGGCTGAGGTCAGCCCCCTTCCTCCTGTTTGCACTTATCTTAATCTGAGCGCCTGGTTCTAAATCAGGGGTCACCAACTTTTTTAAGGCTGAAGGCTCCTTTATGGGTACTGAGTCATACGACGGGCTACCAATACACTGTAAAAACGAAAAAGTTAGTTCAACTCAAAATTTCAAGGCAACCGGCTGCACAGAATTTTTGAGTTGAAGGCATCTACTTAATTTTTTAAGTTTTGTAGAACTACACTTATTAAGTTGTGTCAACTAAGTTTTTCAAGTTCTGCCAACTAAGTTTTTTTAATTCAAGTTACTGGAACTTTAAAGTCTGTAAAAACTTATTATTTTAAGTTCAGATTATCTGTAAAACGTTATTTTAAATTCAGATTACCATCCCCTGTAATAACTTACATTTTTGAGTTCAGTCCCCCCCCATTAAATCATCCACTGACAGTAAACCATCCATCCACTTACACGCTTGTCCCAAGTGGGGCAGGGTACACCCGGGACAGGTCACCAGACACACAGGACTAACAACCATTCATGCACACACTCAACAATTTAGAGAAGCCAATCAACCTAACAGTCATTATTTTGGACGAGGCCGGAGTACCCAGAGAGAACGTACACATGCTCAGGGAGAACATGCAAACTCCATGCAGAAAGACCCCAGGTCAGGAATTGAACCCAGAACCTTCTTGCTGCAGGGCAGCAGTGCTACCCACTGCGCCACCAAGCAGCCCTGACAGTAATCCAGTTAAATTTTGCATGTTTATTTGAACCACTTTGGCAAAAACAGGTTTACAATTCCACAATGTAAACAAGTAATCTTATGCTTAAAGCAAATCAGGTTTCAGCATATATTGCCAGAGATGACGGGAAACCAGTGCCTTAGTCTTCTCTTGGACGAGTCCTCAGGGAAAGTTACTGCCAGCAGAGTGACCAGATGGCTGAACCAAACTTTAGAAGGGAGCTCCTGGGAAAATCCATGGAAACCCTGTAGCAGCTGGTTGCCATGACAAATTTGAAATGAGCATGTGATAAGTTGACCTCGCTCGGACTGGGTGTCAACTACAACTTCTAAGTAAACTCAACTTAATTTATTGAATAAGATTAACTTTTCATCAGAAACTTATGAAAGTGAGTTCAACTGGCTCACAAAAGACAGTTCAAGTTCCAACTGGCAATTTTATTGTCAGTGAATGCAAAAATCTTAGTAAGGTGAACAATTTTGAGTTGTAGTTTTTACAGTGTACTGACCTATGAACTAGAGGAGTCGGCGTTCACCTGAACTTCATAGATAATAAACATATTTCTATTGTTTCTTTTCATTTTTAATTTGCTTTTAGATATTCTCATTATGAAATCCATATAAATCCTCAAATGTTCTAATTTATTGATATGATAAAATGCTTCATAAATGCTTCAAAATAAGAGATTCAGTAAAAAATAACATTTCAGATTTAGTACACTGGTGAATTGTTCTGTTTTCAAAAGATGCTGAGGGCACCCCATGGGCCCCTTGGTGCCCACGGGCCCCACGTTGGTGACCCCTGCTCTAAAGAGATCCCTGAGCAAAAACCTGCAGATTAAAGGAAAAGTCCGGTCAGCAAGGAATAACCAATGAATCATTATTCATACCTAAAACTAACACGTAATCAGTAAAAAATAATAAAAACAATATTTTTCATGGCGATCACTGAGTCTGGGAGCAGCCATTTTTTGCCCAGATATAGACCTGCCGTCAAAGCTGGGAGTAAAATATACGCCTTATTTTGATTCCTTGTCTTTGTTTTATAAAATTAAACCAGCACTAAAACCCACATTAATGTATCTGTATGTTCTAAACCGTAAACAAACCTTTGAATTTTGATATTAAAAACAGATTCTATCTATATTCTCATATTACTGGATGAAATCATGTATTAGATATATAGAAATAAGCAACACTTCCTGATAAAATATGCAGCCTTTATTTAAGCAGGCCGAGAACGGCAGCAGCGCACATTAAAGGAGAAGTCCGGTCAGGAAGGAATGATCAATGGATCATTATTTATACCTAAAATCAGTAAAAAAAATAAAAACAATAATATTCATGGCGATTGCTGAGTCTGGGAGCGGCCATTTTTGCCCAAATATAGTAGCCCCTCCCTCCTGCCATCTTCCGGCAGTGACGTCACGGTGCGGTAAGCCTAGCGCCATTCTCCCCGCTTTACAAGCTAAATCAATGGGAACTACTAGACACATCTGCAATCAACAACAATTATTGAAGATTTCCAGAGGACTTCACCATTGAAATTCACCAGAGCTATAGTGAAACTGACAATGCCCACGTGCATGGCAGCTGGATGCTGGAATACATCGGGGAAAAGTGGAAAATAAAGAGTTATTCCACCTTTCTGATTCCTGATCCTCCACGGACGGGTTGGTCGTTGGATCGCCAACTTGAAGAGGGAGGATTTGCCATCGAACTTCTGGCCAGAGAAAAAACCCGTAATATGTAGCCAACATTTGGAAGAAGAATGTTTTCAAGATGACTTGGATAATAGCGCGTTGTGACAAACACCAGATACAGCACTGGGACTTGATCAACAGCCGATACCGCACCGTGACGTCACAAACCAGTAGGTGGCAGTAGTGTTCTTTGACAAACATGGATGCCTCCAGTAAAGCACATTCACATGAAAATTACTCTGAATTAAAAAAACTGATAATTTATTGAACAGGATGGAATAATTTTATATTTAAAAAACTTTTAGAAGTTTGAATTATGAATATGTCAAACAGAAGAAGTAATAAAACTCTGATTTTAACACAAGGATTTAATTTGCTTTTATCAATTATAAAATGCTAAGCATGCTCTATGTTACACAGCTCTGCTGTTAAACTAAAGGAGTGGGCTGCTATCGTGCGGCGCCCAGGGAGCAGTGTGGGGTAAGGGTCTTTGCTCAGGAACCCAGAGGGGCAGTCTGTGGGAGTGGGACTCGAACTCAAAACCTCCACATTCCAAACTCTATCTGTCTATAAAGCAGCAGGAGCAGGTGGATAAGATGAATGATAATTAGTAACCAGGGAGGGTTAGGCAGGTGAGTGAAATTACCAATTAGCTCAGCTATCAGGGCCGCGATCATGACATAGCAATGTATTAAATGAAAAGCATCTCTGCTTCTCTCATTGGTTAATTATGGAATACATTTGATTTTTCTATCTTTCATCCAATGCTGAAGTGTCTGATCTGTGAGGCCAAGGTTGGGATTATTTCTGAGGTGTAATCTGTTCTACTTCTAACCTAATCTCTCCCCCTCTGATGCTTACTCCTTTCTTCTCCATTTCTCCTGGCGGGAGCAGCAAGGGCTAGAAGTGAGTGGCTCCGTCAGACTGCATGCTGCATGAGATGTCTGTAGAAGGAACACCATCCATACATTCGTAACGTTGCATCGTTCATTCGTCGCCTTTTTTTTTTTTTTTTTGCATCTTCATCCCAGATGAAGCACGGACGAACCGTTAAAGATCAGCTCTGAATTCAACTTTTCTGCTGCTGCTCTCCAGAGCAGCGAGAAAACACCCAGACTGCAGAGCCTGCGCTATAATTGGGAGGAGAGGCTGCTGCTCTATATTTAGCTGAGATGCTGCAATGTCTGGATGCTCCCACTTTTCCAGCGCTTTCCCCCTCATATGGCATGTGCTGATGACTAATGTCTTTTCTCTGTGTTTGCCTGAAAATAATCTGATTTTAAAGTAAAAACCGCATAGAGAGAAAAAAAGACGACTGATCCACTTTGAAGCTTACTGTGTTGGGAAGTAGGTTACCAGATGTAGGTCAGGTTTGTTTAATGAGAAGCTGCTCCGGCAGATAGAGGGGGAAACAGTTTCATGGGTTTTTACTTCCCAGCCTTCAGCAGAAGGCCGCTGAACCTACAGGCTAACAAACCCGCTGATACCAAGCTGTGTGTGGATGTTTAAGGATAGCAGAGCATTCCTGAGGACCAGGGTGGCACCCGACACCCACACCGTGCTAGGCAACCAGCATTCTTCAGACCAGTGGGAGTACTTTTTAATCTTGTGAAAGAGCCCAGCTCGCCTCAGAGGTAGAAAATAACCCAATGTAGCTTTTAATCAGCTCCATGGCAGGAAATCTGAGCGCTGGAGTATCTCCACTCAACTCACCGCGTTCCACGGCGCAGGCCAGCTTGTGACCAGCTCTGTGTGACATGTCAGATTAAGATGCTGTCGGAGAGGAAGATGGAGCTGGAGCGCCGGGTGCACGCCATGATGGAGGAGAACGAGCTGCTGCAGAACACGGTGGACGACCTCCGGGAGAGGACGCTGCTGCTGGAGAAGCAGTGCCACGAGAAGGACCTTCAGGTAGGGACGCTTCCTCCCACTCTCAGAAAACAGGGATTCTGACCTGATGAGCTTTCATTACAAACTTGTGTCTCTTTAGAAGTGTTTTTTTCTGGTTTTCAACTGAGATCTCCAGCAGGTTTAAGTGTCGGTCGGTTTGTGGACATGAATCGACCATCTGGTTGATCCTGTTCTCAGGACGCCATGACACAGACAGGCTTTTCTAATCTGGAAATTCAATTCAATTCAGTTTATTTCTATACAACTTGTCCAAATTAGCAACAACTGATGCCTTAATAATTTAATTACAGTTTATTTCTATAGTGCCAATTCACAACACGTCATTTAAGGCACTTTCCAGTTCACCAGATCATCCAGTCAGATTAATTTGAAGTTTCTGTCTAAGGAAAACCAGCTGATTGGCAATCCCTCACACTAAGCATGCTTGTAGTGACAGTGGAGAGGAAAAACTCCCTTTGAACAGGAAGAAACCTCCAGCAGAACCAGGCTCAGTGTGAGCGGCCATCTGCTGAGGCCCACTGGGGTTCAAGGAGACAGAAGCAGACATAGAAAAAGAAGCATAGATACAAAAGGCAACTGTCAACCAGCTCCACAGGCGGCCCCGTCCAGGAAACACACAGCCAGGCAGACGAGCTCCGAGCCAGCTCCCATGTCAGAGGATGAAGAGAGCACATCCAGTTAGTCACAGTCAGAGAAACAGGACTACACTGGAAAACAGGCCAAGCTCCAACATCTACAAACAAAGGTGTTGATGGCAGCAGCACAGCTGATATTTCTCTCCAGGATGGAGTCACAGCCAAACAGGAACAGACCAGATGAAGCTACTATGAGAAAAAGCAGAGAGAGCAGAACGTTAGAGATTGAACTAACAGATTCTGCAGAGTGGGAGAATAGAGATAGAATGAAGCAGAATGATGAAATTATGATAATAACATTATAAACTTCTAATAATATCTGGTCTGAGTTTCTCATATCTGTGGAATGTTATTAAATCTTTAAAACATTGGTGTCCAGATTCAGCCGTAATGGCTGCTATCCGCCATGATGGAATTACATTTCAGGAAAGGAAAACAGCAACAGAGGATTAAAAAGCTGAGCTGAGCCAAAAGGAACAAGGAACTGGGAGCTTCCTGGAAATGGAGCAGAGTAGAAAGTTATAAGTAAAAAAAGAAATTACTCAAGTAAAGATACTCAAAAATATTACTTAAGTACAGTAATCTAGTAAATATACCTTGTTACTTTCCAGCACTGCAGGCCTGGTTGTTTAATTGCGTCTCCAAGTCGCTAAATTTTTTTTCCCAGATAGATGATAGAGAAAAGTCCAACATTGTATCTGCTCTGTTTTGCTGAAGTTGCGACAAAGCCAGTTGGAGCTCCAAGAGGTCCAGACGTCCCGCAGACATCTGACGGCGAAGTTGGCGGAGCTGACGGAGGAGAACAGTCTCCAAACTCTCACCCCCCACCCGTCCAGCCTGCTGTGTGAGATAGAGCAGAGCATGGAGCAGGAGGAGCAGGAGCAGGAGAGGGAGCAGGTAGGCCTGACCCCGCCCCCGGCTGCAGCGATGCCCACAGGAAGCATGGATCACTAACATCTAAACGCTTCCTGTCCAGCTGCGGCTACAACTGTGGGAGGCGTACTGTGAAGTCCGCTCGCTCTGTTCCCATCTGCGGGGAAATGATGTCACAGACTCGGCGCTGTCTACCGACTCCTCCATGGACGAGTCCTCGGAGACGTCCTCGGTGAAGGACGTCCCTACGGGGAGCCTTCACACCGGCCTGCTAGAGCTACGCAGGTTAACGCAGAATCTGCTGGATGGGAATGAGTCTACGGTAAAGGACCACAGTAGTGATGTTATCAGATGAGCCGAGGCTCCGAGGCGTTTGTCGAGTATTGCATTGGAAAAAATCTAAATCTAGATAAGTCATTATTTCAATTCAATTCAATTTCAATTCAGTTTATTTCTATAGCGCCAAATTCACAACACAAGTCATCTCAAGGCACTTTACAGTTCAACCAGATCATCCAGTCAGATTGATACAAAGTTTTCTATCTAAGGAAAACCAGTTCAACGCATCGACTCATTGACTCAAATACAATCCCTCACACTAAGCATGCTTGTAGTGACAGTGGAGAGAAAAAACTCCCTTTGAACAGGAAGAAACCTCCAGCAGAAGCAGGCTCAGTGTGAGCGGCCATCTGCTGAGGCCCACTGGGGTTCAAGGAGACAGAAGCAGACATAGAAAAAGAAGCTGCCCCGTCCAGGAAACACACAGCCAGGCAGACGGGCTCCGAGCCAGCTCCCATGCCTGAAATTAAAATAAGTGCATTTGTTCTTGAATTGAGAAGGTAAAAGACACATTTTGTCAATGGAACAAAACAATTTACATTTAAAATAATAAAACACAATTGGATTGTCTTATTTAAAAGTGCATTTTATCTAAATATCTTATTTTAAGAGTAAAAATACTCATTCCATTGGCAAATTATCTCATTTACCTACTCAAATTATGGGTAAATGCACTTAATTTGAGAAATTTGTACTTATTTCTAGATCGTTTTTCCACTGTGGAGGCATGCTTTATTTAGGCGAGAGGCCAAAACCGATGGCGTCCAAAGCCTCGCTTACGCCATCGTTCAGATCGCCCGCGAAGCGACACGCATCTAAGCAGCCTCATTATTCAGTCAAGATGTGGGAGTTTGTAGGAGAGCTGCAGGCTGGGAGTTGCGGGACAAAAAAACATTACAAAACATTTTATTATACAAAACAATCATGAAAAACTTCAAAGGAACTTAAATATAGATAATAGGAAAGAAAAATAACTGCAAACATCACAGATTATATTGCTAATTGTAGGCTCAGTCTGAGCGGCCATCTGCACATCCAGTTAGTCACAGTCAGAGAAACAGGACTACACTGGAAAACAGGCCAAGCTCCAACATCTAGAAACAAAGGTGTTGATGGAAACAGAAAAATCAAAAATCTAAATCTAGATAAGTAATTTTTTCTTAAAATAAGTGCATTTGTTGTTGGATTGAGGAGGTAAAAGAGACATTTTGCCAATGAAACAAGCAATTTACACTTAAATAAGAAAATGCAATTGCATTCTCTTATTTCAAGTGCATAATATAACATGTTAAGAGTAAAAATACTCATTCCATTAGCAAACTATCTCACTATCTACTCAAATTAAGGGTAAATACACTTGATATAAGAAATTTTTACTTATTTCTAGATTTTTTTTGTCTTATACAGCAGTAAACTCTTTTTCCTATTCCTTTAGGCCTGTGAAGTGCAATTTTCTCTCCAGTTTCATAGCATTTAGCTTCAGAATTTGCAGCTCTGGATTAAACCAAGGAGCCAGCTTTCTATTTTTAACGTTTTTTATTTTCATTTTTTATGTAGAATAGATTCCCACATTGGCCCATAGAGACTTTAAAATGTTTGAGACCTCTGTGTTTTCTACTTGGTCGTTCTTTGCATTTTACTTCCACACAGAACATCATATCAAACATAAAGCAATCTTATACAGCAAGAGTAAAACCACGGCGGCGTAAAATCATTCATTCACAGTTGAAGTCATCATTAACTTCTGGGTAATAATCACCAAATTACAACGTGAGGACAGTTAAAAGGATCATAAGATGTTCAGACAGTAGAACCTTTTTTAGAGCTTATGGTAGAAATGATCTGGAATTTGTTTTTGTATTTGTTGTAAAAAAAAAAAAACAAAAAAAAGCCAAATAAGATGCTACCTGGTTTTCTGTAAATCTGATTCTTGTCCCCCTCTGAAAGGGTTCACACCGCAGTGATGAGGAGGCTTTGGAGGAGCAGGTGAGGAAGTTAGGAGAAGAACTGCAGGAGATCAGAGAGCTGTATGAGGCGGAGCAGCACAAAACACGGAGCAACGAGGAGGAGCTACTGCAGCTGCACGATCAGGTACCTGAAGCCCGGCTTCACTTTGTCACCCACTGTGGACTTTAGCCAGCGGGGGCTGTGGGGTAGAAACATAAAACATGTACTGTTGGTTGTATTTGGGAAGGTAAGTCAATCATTTAAATACATTTAAGATTTGTTTTTCTTCCTTCTCATTCATGGGTGTGACATTAGATTTTCATCCGTGAGAGTAGAATTTAAAAGGTTGTGGATAGAAATGACAAAGTTATATGTTTGCAAATGAAACACTTTGAATAACTAATAGCTTTATGAGCACAGATCGCAAATTTAAAAGTAAGAATCTCAGATTGAAAGGTATGAATCACATATGTGAGAAGCTGTTAACCTCCTCACCAGTTGGTGGCAGTAATGCACCTGAAGATTCTTCACCAAACGCCATTAAACAAGCAGAAGAAGAAGCCAAATAGTATTTGGGGGTTTTTTTTGCAATTGTTTTTCTTGTTTATTTTTTTTTTCCGTTTAAGTTCCTTTGAAATTGTTAATGATTTGTTTGTATAATAGAATAAAAAAGTAATTTTTTTTGGGTGTAAAATGTCTTAGAAGAGATAAATAATTCCATAATAATTCTATAATTCCAGTGCCATTTTGGTGAAATATTCTCAAGCAGACAGTGAAAATGTTTGTGCCAATTGGGCAATGATGAGCAAAATGGAAGGTGTTAGTCATTTTTATTCAAACATAATAGTTTTTCCACAGTTTTTGGTTTTAATTGGGTCTGAAGTTATGTGTTCAGCCAGTCTTTTGGTTAAACCAGCCAATTTAATTTGGCAGTTTTTTACCCACTCTATATTTGTATTAGGGCTAAACTATACAAATCAGTCACATTGGCCAAAATACTGGTTATGTATAATCGTAACTTAGGACTCGAACCATCAACCTCAGGGGTAAAAGTCTTACAGATGGTGCCACCAACATTGATTACTGTTCAACAGACAACAATAATACTTAACACCAAAGTTACAACTGTGCCCAGCGGAGATTTTCATCATTACATTGTTTGATCTAACTAAAATAGTTTTAACCAACTAGATTGGTTGGAAAAACAACCAATCTACACTCACCGGCCACTTTATTAGGTACCCCATGCTAGTAACGGGTTGGACCCCCTTTTGCCTTCAGAACTGCCTCAATTCTTGGTGGCATAGATTCAACAAGGTGCTGGAAGCATTCCTCAGGGAGTTTGGTCCATATTGACATGATGGCATCACACAGTTGCCGCATATAATATGCTCATCTTCTCCTTCACATTTAAATGAGGTTTGTGACCAACCTTCAGGTGCATTACTGCCACCAACTGGTCAGGAGTGCAGCAGCTTCATCGGGGTCTTAGATATGTATTCCTAAATTATTGATTCATACCTGTATTTTTGCAAAAGTTCTAACTTATGAACTTCTATTCTAATAGATTAAAGACAGACACGGTCTTCATTGACTGCTATCATACCGTATGTAGAAAAATGTTTCTTCTAAAGGAGCAGAGCCAGTGAAGGTAATAATCAGGCCTCACTGCAGGGATTAGCAGAAAATCATGCATGCATGATTGTAACGTAGGACTTATCTTTAATGCTGCCTTCATTCCTCAAAAGAAACATACTTTTTTCTCTTTGCACCAAAAAAAGTCCTGCAAACATCCTGCTGACGTCATCCACAGTTTAACATGGTGGTAGAATGATTGAAAAGCCTCATTAAATCCATTATTTTAAAGCGTTTACAACTAACAACTCAGAAAACATGGAAATTACACCACTAAAATGTTTACCACTATAGACATGTTAGATATCGTTAGAAAGCTTAGATTCTCCATAATCCAATCACCAAGTTCATTTTATGGACACAGTGAGCACCAAAGCACAATTAACACAGATATAGCAGCATGTCAAAATGTAAACATGACAAAGAAGCCACAACAACAGACCTTTGAAGGCGTCCAGAAATCGTTTTATAAATCCAACCTTCAATTGTTTATACTCTATTCATCCATTAGGGTCCACAGATTAAAAGTAATCCATAATATTCATAATAAAATATTACATGATGAGAAAATCCCCACATAACATCCTTTTTTTTTTACATCAGAAAAGTTAGCTGGTCATAACTAAAACTTAGCATCTTGCTAATAAGATTACTTCCTCAAACGTTTGTTTTTTGTTTTGTTTTGTTTTTACCTAGAGGTCTGAAAATTTCTGCAGCTGTGTTTGACATGATGTAGAGAAAATGCAAAACAAAAATTCAAAAATATTTTCAAGAAGCAAAAAAAGCAACTTTGAGTCAAAGTTTGAACTGATGCAGCTTAGGCTGTGTTTTAGTAAAACTATTTTTATTTAAATTTTCAGAAACTAGAAGGTGTTTGCTTTCAAATGACGTATCAGGCATGAAATCTGGGCTTACAGTTCCTCAATTATTGGGAATGCAAAATTGATGAGGATTGCTTCCAATTAGGTGGGTTTTAACTTCATGTTTCACCCCCCTTTGCCACCTCCAGATGGCGCTGCTGTCGGTTGAGATTTGCTCTCTCCGAGAAGACAACGTGCGAATGAGGGCGATGGCTGATGTCCGAGAACCCAGCGAGCAGCTGCAGAGCGCCATCAGAGACAGAGACGACGCCATTGCCAAGTAGGGTCAAACAAAGCGAACGCAAACGGTGGTCGGAGCGACACACCGGCGCTAACTATGAGCATTTACACGTTTTTATCGGAATGGTTCCGATTGGCTAGAAAACCTCCACAGACCTGCAGTACAAAAATAAAACGCAACAATCCAGAAAACCAGCATGGCGCCGCTTTTACATTTTTACTCTTCGTTTACTTGAACTGATTGATTTTTTTTTAGAGGGGTTAATGCTTGTTTTTAAAATATTGTGTTTTTATGTAACATAAATCATGAAATTCTAACTTTCATTCATGTAGCTGCTGTCGATGCGGAGAAAACTCTTCATCTGAGCGTATATTGGTAGCATCGCTGCTACAGTCAGGGATGAACCTGAGGCTACACTGAAAAAACAATCTAGAAATAAGTCAAAATGTCTTAAGTTAAGTGTATTTACCCCTAATTTGAGTAGGTAAATAAGAATTAATTGCCAATGGGATGAGGATATTTACTATTAAAATAAGATAATTAGATAATATGCACTTGAAATAAGACAATAAATTAGTTTTTTCTTATTTTAAATGTAAATTGTTTTATTCCATTGGCAAAGTGTCTCACTAACCTCCCAAATTCAAGAAAAAATGCACTTATTTTAAGAAAAAATTACTTATGTAGATTTCAATTTTTTCTAGTGTACAGAGATCATTTTATCCCTTCCTGTTCTCCAATTTGATCGCATTACGCAGCAGATGATAGCATGTTTAAATACCATTTTTAATTATGTTAGAATCATCCGGCCTTCTTCTTCATCTAAAGTCTAAAAGTATTTACACCCCTTTAACTTTCCCAGGTTAACAACTGAAACTTGATGTATTTCTTCTGGATTTTATGAAAAATTAAAAGAGCAGGTTGGATTTTTTAAATCCCTCCTTCTGAGTTTATACTTTGTAAAATAACAGCACATAAACTGCATGGAGCTCCGTCAGACAGAACAGAGAGCAAACAGCAGCAGATTTTAAGGTCTTATTATTGTCCAAGTGATTTAAGGTCTGGACCTTCACTGGAAAAACGATCTAGAAATAAGTAAAAATGTCTTAAATTAAGCGTATTTACCCTTGATTTGAGTAGGTAAATGAGATAGTTTGCCAATGGAATGAGTATTTTTACTCTTAAAATAAAATAATTAGATAGTATTCACTTGAAATAAGACAATGCAATTGTGTTTTCTTATTTTAAATCTAAATTGTCTTGTTCCATTGGCAAAATGTATCTTTTACCTCCTCAATTCAAGATAAAAATGCACTTATTGCAAGAAAAAACGACTTATGTAGATTTAAATTTTTTGCAGTGTTGACTGAAACAGAACACTACAAAAAATGATCTAAAAATCAGTCCAAATGTCTTAAATTAAGAGTATTTACCCTTAATTTGAGCAAGTAAATGAGATAATCTGCCAATAGAATCAGCATTTTTTCTATTAAAATAAGTATAAATAGGATAATTAGATATTATGCACTTGAAATAAGAGATCGCAGTTGTTGTTGTTTTGTTTTTTTTAACGTCAATGGCCTTTTTCCATTGCCAAAGTGTGTCAGTTAACTGCTTAATAGAAGAAAAAATGCTCTTATTTTAAGAAAAATAAACTTACTTAGATTTACATTTTTTCCAGTGAACATTGAGGAATATCTATCACTGGAAAAAATCAAAACCTAGATCAGTAATTTTTTCTTGAATTGAGAAGGTAAAAGAGACATTTTGCCAATGGAACAAGACAATTTACATTTAAAATAAGAAAACACAATTGCATTGTCTTATTTCAAGTGCATTTTATCTAAATATCTTATTTTAAGAGTAAAAATACTCATTCCACTGGCAAATCATCTCCTTTACCTACTCAAAAAAAGGGTAAATACACATAATTTGAAATTTGTACTTATTTCTCGATCGTTTTTCAAGTGATGGTAGATAAGGATCGATTTGCAGAAATATTGTTAAGAATAGTTCATAGTTCCTCTTTTGCATACTTTGGTCTTAACCAGTCGGACCCCTGGCTCCCACAGAGCAGCCATTCTGGGGTCAGTCTCTGTAAACAATAGAGATGGTTGCGTGTGGAAATGGAAAATGGTCCAACCAGACCGCTTGTACTGGAAAAACGATCTAAAAATAAGTAAAAATGTCTTAAATTAAGTGAATTTACCCTTAATTTGAGTAGGTAAATGACATAGTTTGCCAATGGGAAGGGTATTTTTAGTCTTAAAATAATATAATTAGATAATATGCACTTAAAATAAGACAATGCAATTATGTTATTTTAAATGTAAATGGTCTTGTTCCATTAGCAAAATGTCTCTTTTACCTGCTTGATCCAAGAACAAATTTACTTATTTTAGGAAAAAATGACTAATCTAGACTTAGATTTTTTTCCAGTGTGACAACATCCACTAGTTCAAAGTCCCTTAAATCCTCCTTCTTCCTCATTCTGAAGCTGGGTTTGAACATCAGCACATCGTCTCGATAATATCTACACTCTTTAATGTTTCTGTGAAACAACCAGACTCGATAGTGGTATCGATAAGCCCAAACGTTATTGATTTTCGGGTTTTGAAAAAAGTGGAACCGGGTCCTTGATAGAACCGGGTTTCGATCCCCATCCCTAGATGGGGCACTAAAAATCTTGGGGTGGCCACTGAAACTAAAAACCATTCTTTCAGCGATTGAATCTAGTGTGGTAAACCTGCCTGTAGAAATCATAAACACTTAAGTAAACACCTGCTCATATCTTGGTTTATTGTGTGATTTCTTTAAGTTACATCGCTGGCTTTGCATAATGGGATGAAATGCTAAACTGGTGCTGCTACAGTTTACACTGACCAGTGAAGGGCATTACACAGGGTGGCCATGGCTGCCCCCTGGTGGCACCACCGTTAGTAATGCCCTTGAAATGATCCTTGCTTCATTTCATGGGCATTATGCTGCTGTGCGTTATGCATAAGTTAGGCTGTCGTTAGACATAAATTGACAATAAAAAAAGTCAGAATTCTTACTTTTTTCCCCCATGTTAAACTGAAATAAAATTTTAAAATGAGTTAACTTTTTTTTTTCAGTGGCCCTAGATTCCCAACATTTTTCCAAACTATTTTCTGTTTGGTTTTTTTTCTTTGTGTATTTTAAAGACAGCCAAGCTGCCTTCAGCTGTGTGTGTCTGTGTGTTCCAGGAAGAAAGCTGTGGAAATAGAGCTGGCCAAATGTAAAATAGACATCATGTCTCTGAACAGCCAGCTTCTGGACGCCATCCAGCAGAAACTCAACCTGTCACAGCAGCTGGAGGCTTGGCAGGTGGGTGAAGAAACAAACGCACTCTGTTCTTCTGTAGACGCAGTTTAACTCCGCCCCTTCAGGCGGCTTTAATCACCATGTGAGGGAGAGGAGACTGACCTTCCTCTTTGCCGTTCCCTTCCTCTAACAGTTTAGGTAGCTTTTAACTGAAAGCAGCTAGCAGTAGCTCTGCAGACGCCCTGAAGCTCTAGCTTACCTGCTGTTTCTACGGCAGCCCGGCAGGTCAAAGCGCTGCAGGTGTCTGCCTGTCTCTCCTCACCTGTAACCAGCAGCTCTTTCCTGTCTTCTCCCTGCCCACAGTTTGCCTCCTCAGGGCTCTTTACTGTTTGGCTCTTGTGGTTTCTGATCTAGTGGCCTTTCTGAACTTCAGTACCACCCCCCCCCCCCCCACCGTGGTACCTCCCCCCCTCCTGCCTTAGAGGTGAGCCCTGAGCCGCGCCCTCCCGCCGCCTCTAACCCAGCCATGCCATGCTGAGCTATGCCATGCCGAGGTTAACTCATCCAGCTCCTGTCTCTGAACCATTAACCTCCAACCAGAACCATCCAAGTCTCCATCCTCCCTCTTCCGCCTCGCTCTAACGCAGCACTTTCACTTTAGCTTGGAGGCTGGGCCGGGGTCACCTTAGCTGCTCCGTGTCAGCATCAAACAGCCGTTTTAGTCACAGTTGGGTGACGATGGGTCGGATCTACGCTGGCTGCTATGAGCTGGAACTGAATGAAGCTCTGTTTTGGGAAAAATGGGTTTTATGTCTTTTATTCAGGACCCAGAGATTTCCAGCTTGATGTAGAGGCTTGTTAGAGCCCCCTAGTGGCTAAAAGCTGCACAGACAACCAGTCAGCGTATTTCTTATTCTAACTGGACTCAGTTGTTGCAATATAAACATATCAGATAAGGAAACTTATAAATAAACATAGATCAATTTGATGAATCTGATTTAAAAAATGTCCATTTGAAAATTAATCTAGTTTTTACAAAGACAACATTTTTAAAAGTTAAATTCAGTTCAGTTTATTTCTATTGCTCCAATTCATACTACATGTCATTTCAAGGCACTTTACAGAGACAATTGAACCAGATCATCCAGTCAGATTGATTCAAAGTTTTCTATCTAAGGAAAACCAGCTGATTGCATCGACTCATTGACTCTTCAGCAATCCCTCACACTAAGCATGCTTATAGCGACAGTGGAGAGGAAAAACTCCCTTTGAACAGGAAGAAACCTCTAGCAGAACCAGGCTCAGTGTGAGCGGCCATCTGCCGAGGCCCACTGGGGTTCAAGGAGACAGAAGCAGACATAGAAAAAGAAGCATAGATACAAAAGGCAACTGTAAAAGGCGGCCCCGTCCAGGAAACACAGCCAGGCAGACGAGCTCCGAGCCAGCTCCCATGTCAGAGGATGAAGAGAGCACATCCAGTTAGTCACAGTCAGAGAAACAGGACTACACTGGAAAACAGGCCAAGCTCCAACATCTAGAAACAAAGGTGTTGATGGCAGCAGCACAGCTGATATTTCTCTCCAGGATGGAGTCACAGCCAAACAGGAACAGACCAGATGAAGCTACTATGAGAAAAAAGCAGAGAGAGCAGAACGTTAGAGATTGAACTAACAGATCCTGCAGAGTGGGAGAATAGAGATAGAATGAAGAAGAATGATGAAAAAGGGGTCCCTATGTCCTCCAGCAGTCTAAGCCTATAGCAGCATAACTATAGAGAAAGCTCAGGTTTTCCTGAGCTATGTCTATAATATGGACTCTATAAGCATGGCCATTCCAAAATCTAAGTAGAAATTCAGAGACTTCTCGCTAGATTTAGTAGATCTACGGTTAAAAAAATCTCTCTAGATGGTTTTGGATATTAGACACTCAGATGATTCTATTACTATTACTATACTATTACTATAGATGTCAGAGGCAGCTTCATTTACTGATGAGTCTCACAGGTCCCAGCTCTATTTGGAAGGAGGGTTTCACGGTTTGCAGGTCTGAAGGAAGTAGATGTGTTTCCACAAAATATGACTGACCTTAGAAATGCTATAGCTGTTGCACATCAATAGGGGGAGGATTACAGGGTCGTAACCAGGGTGCCGAATGGCCTAGTCCAAGTCTGGGTCTGAATCTGGGTAAGTGCTGCATTGGTACGGTGGCCTCAGTCATTAGGCCAAAGTTCTGCTGAACAGGAAGGACTGAGAACAGTTAACTTGATCAGGCCCAGTCTCCATGGTAACCAGCTTTCCTCATCCCATCCCTGCTCCGGTTCTGTCTCTGTTAGCTTCCACCTCATTTTCCTCTCTGGTTCACTTGGCTGTCTCTGGCTTTAGGATGATATGCACAGAGTGATTGACCAGCAGCTGATGGACAAGCACCAGGACGAGTGGCGCTCGGTCTGCACCCCGCTGTCCGGGTCAACGAGGAGTCAGTCCCCGAGACGACCGCGCCGCTTCTCTGAGCGGGACAAGAGACTTTTCTCTTTTTTTAAAAAGAACTGAGCCCCGCCGGACTGAGCTGGAGGTCAGAGGGACACGGACGAGGCGAGGGAGTCGGTGGGTAACAGCACAGCCAAAGACATGCTGGTGTTGAGGGGGTGAGGATAGTTTTGCACTTTAAATGGCTCATTATTCTGCTTCTAACTGAATGAAAATGGATGAAGGAAAAGTTCAACTCTTCCCTGGCTCAGAACCCCACCCCCTCTCCCTCCGGTTGTTGTTACAGAACAGGACAGGGTCACAAAGTTTACCTCCATAGAGGAAGGTTTCCTGTAGTGCCTATAAAACCCACTGCCAACTACGTAGAGTTAGAGTTTGCATCCTAGGGGCCGGTCCAAGGAGTCTGGACCAGAACCTGGTGGAGTTCTGGCAAAGCTCAGAGTCGGAATATGTAGAGAAGGCTGGCAGTGATGGTCTGAGTTCTCGCAGTGATAGGGAGCCTCTCAGGTTTATTCATTCGTTAGGAAAATCTGGGCTGATGAGGGAGAATTCCCAAACCGAAGCCGATTAAAGAACAAAAACACGATAAAAGGCCGCCTGTGAACGTTTTTATTGCAGCAGAACATTTTTTGCTGAAATTCCAACTAAACCAGGATCCATTCCGGTTCACCGAGACACAATTTTCCAAACAATAAGAACCACCTGGATCCAAGAAACAGTTAAAGGAAAAGTCCGTTCAGCAAAGAATAATCAATGGATCATTATTTATACCTAAAACTAATACGTTCAGGGGGATTTAATGATCACAATCACTTAGTCTGGGAGCGGCCATTTTTGCCCAAATATAGTAGCCCCTCCCTCCTGCCATCTTCCAGCAGTGACGTCACGGTGCGGTAAGCCTAGCGCCATTCTCCCCGCTTTCCAAGCTAAATCAATGGGAACTACTAGACACATCACAAACCAGTAGGTGGCAGTAGTGTTCTTTGACAAACATGGATGCCTCCAGTAAAACACATTCACATGAAAATTACTCTGAAATAAAAACACTGATCATTTATTGAACAGGATGTAATATTTTATATTTAAAGTTCTTTCAGAAGTTTGAATTCTGAATATAACCGGACTTTTCCTTTAAAAGGAGAGAGCTGAGATGTTTTCTCTCATCATCCTCAGGATCCTCTGCTCCAGATGAATAAAGTTTCTTTGAATATTGAAGCTATTTGAAATATTATAACTGACCCAGTTTCTGGGTTTGCTGCTTCCGACTCGTTTGGACCGCATCCTGAAAAAGCTCTAAAGGGTCTGAGAAAGAATTAAAGGTTCCTCATTATTATCCTAACTATTTTCTGCCATAAAAACCAAGGATCTCCTAATAGTCTCTGATTACTTCAACATTTTACATTTTTCTATTTACTTTCCTGCAGCAGGAGCTTAAAGCCGGTCAGCCTCATAGTGACCCCCCCTGAAAAACTATCCTCTACTGTCTATGAGGACATAAATGCTCTTTTCAGCCATCAGATCCTTGGTTGTGAAAAAGTTGCATATTTTACAACCAGAAATAACTGGAAATAAAAAACAACTGTCATCGACTGGAGCTTCATCCCGCCAAAATAAAAGATCAGTTATCAGGCAGGAAAGTTCTTAAGTTGTTCTCTATAATTCACGCAGGTCTAAAACTGGATTTAGTTTTAACACGTTTCCATGTAACTAAAACCCAAAATGCTTTTCTGCCAATCAACCCATTTTTTGGAGAATCCACTGATGTTTAATATCAGCATTTTATATTTAGATTAATTGTTTTATTACTTTATTAAGAATATTTCTTGATTTAATTCCCTAATTTTTGCTCATTTAGTATTAAGCAGCAAAATACAAACTAGTAAATAAGGATAGTTTCCTGTTTTAGATCTGTGTTCATTTTCAGACAAACCTTCCATCAATAATTTTTTAATAATTATTTCTGGGGAGGTATTCAGTAATTTATTTATTGATTAATGGATAAGTATTTTGTATAAAAAAATACAACTTATCACATTTCCTCCCTCCTTTAACTCCTTTAAGCCCGGTGATCCTGGTAATGAGCCAAACTGACACCTGCTCATGTTTATCTATCCATAGAAATGGCCCAAACACAGTCACATGGTGTTTCGTCCACACGCCTTTCAAATGGCGCTTAAACATTTCTAAAACTTTATATTTTCACAAATACTTTTTTTGTTTTATAGGTTTGTAAACAAATAAAATTAGATTTAAAAGTCCACCTGACATGTGTGACTCTGTTGTAGTAATGCAACAGCAGGTATTCATTGTTAGCCCCGCCCCCTAATGGTCAGCATCATTGGAAACTAGAGGCTCTGACCTTTTATAAGGAGGGGTCAGAGGTCATTGTGACACCATTTCAGGTGATGTAAGCGGCATGCGTTACATAAGCTGCTCAGTTATTCTTATTTTCTATTCATTTTGGTGATTTTATTGGTAAATTTCAAAGAAACGACGACTAAATCTTAGGAGCAAAGGCTTCGCCTCATGCAGAAATATGCTGTAAATCAGCATATATGTCTGACCAGTGTCAGGGTTCCTTTGTGTGCGAGTTATGCATCATTTCAAGAGAGAGGATCTTTGTGGAGAACCTGGGTAGCCACACAGGTGAAGGTAATCTTTCTCATCAGAGTGCTGGGCTTAGAAGAGCAGCAGAGCCTTCACTCAGCGCTGGTTTCTTCTGTCAGGTTGGGTGGGGGCCTGAGGACCCAGAGGAGTGGGCACAGATTAGTTTGGATTATTTGATGAAAGTCCAAGTGGGACAGAGGCAAAAATGCAAACTTCAAAAATACTGAAAACTAGGGTTGTCACGATACTAAACTTTTCAACTCGATACCGATACTAAGGAAAATTTTCGATACTCGATACCATTTTCGATACCCCAAGGATAAAAACAAAGACTCCAAAATTATACAGAAATATTTTCATTAATAAATAAAATACAAGAAATAAATATAATAAACAATAAGAACAATATTTTGAGGTTGTATGCTTACAAATAAAATACAAATAAAACTGAAAAGAAACTGAAAAGTGCACAGAATTATTCAATCACACAGTGTTCTGAAAGTGCATTTTCCTCTATTCTGCACTTTAGATGAATGACTGCTTAGGTGCCACTGGTGGTGGCACTGTATCGATACTTTTAAAAACGAGAATTGTATCCGGATACAACGTTTCAGTATCGATACTTTTTTGAGTATCGATACTTTTGACAACCCTACTGAAAACTAGTCGAGGCTTCGAGGCGTGTGTCGAGTAATGAAGGGGGCGTTTTCCCGAAGCGCGTGTCGAGGCGTGATTTTTTAGGGGAGGGGCCAAAGTTGATGACGTCCGAGGCCTCGCTATAGTTATACCACGCAACCGCTTCGCGAAGTGGTTCGGGAAGCGCAAGAATTTTGACAGGCTTCTAAATAGCCTCAGTCAAGATGTGGGAGTTTGGAGGAGAGATGCTCTCAGCTGGATAGAGTTTGGATAGATTCTAAGAATAGATTGGTTGGAAAAACAACCAATCTAGTTCGTTAGAACTAATTTGGTTAGAATAAACAATATAATGATCAAATCTATGGAAACCACCGGAAAAAGTCAGTGTTAACATGTCACTATTAATTCGTATTTTAAAATTTATAGGCAGGCTTTCACTCTAGAGGTTGATGGTTCAAATCTCGTCTTTGACTTTTGAAAGTTGTGATTAAACTTAAGTATTTTGGCTGATGAGACTAATTTGCATTGTTTTGCCCGAGTAAAAATAGATAAATTATAGAAATATATAGATTGATATATAGATTGGGTAAATTAGGTTGGTTTAGCCAAATGATTGGTTGAACACAACTTCCAACCTGATTAAAACCAAAAAACGTGGAAAAACTATCGTGTTTGAATTAAAACGACTAACACCTTTCATTCTGCTCATCATTGCCCAATTAGCGCAAACACTTTCACTGTCTGCTTGAGTTTATTTCACTAAAAAAGCAGAAAAACTGTGCACCTTAAATTATTGTTCTAAGAAATTTTACAGTTAAAAAAAATTACAAAAGATTTTATTATACACACCAACCATTAATAATTTCAAAGGAACCTAAAAGGGGAAAAAAGGAGCAGTTGCAAAAAAAGAAAAAGAAAAAAAAAAATCACAGATTTTATTACAAACTGTAGTTTTGCTTTCCACCAGTAGGTGGTGACATGTTCACATGAAGCCTCATGAACTGTGGGGATCGTTGAAGCAATTTGGCCAAACGGTTCAATGCCTCATGAGGCTTCATCTCACCATCACTACTGAGAACCAAACAAAGACCAATAAAAGTCAGGGAAAATACTCAAAAGAAAGGAAGAGACTAGAAACCAGCGCTGAGTGAAGGCTCTGCTGCTCTATTAAGTAGGGAAGCCCGATATAATCGGCCCCCTATCGGTTTCGGCCTTAAAACTGAATATCGGACATCGGCCACCCCACCGATATTCAACCCGATATTTGATCAGCTTCTGAGTTTCTAAAGTCTAAAAAAATAAGAAAATACTACTTCTTCTTCTTCCTCAAAAACTTCTTTTTTACAGACTTAAAAACTTCTAAAGACGAGGGAAAAAATATTGATACATTAAAATATCCCAACATCTTCATATGCTGATATATTGCCATTTAAAAACACCATATCAATCTCTTTTACTAATGAAATATTGCTATATGTCATCGTTATGCTACGAAATCCCCCGAAAATTCACCAAATGTTGCCATATTTTTATATGTTGATATATTGACGCGGTTTCGATCTATTTTACTAACAAAATCTCACAAGAATTTGCAAAATATCACGAGAGTTTGTAACAGAACGATGAAATTTCACCAGATTTTGAATGTAAAATAGATCGATACCGCGTTTTTAAAAATCTATTTGATATCAGCATATGAAAATATATTTGAGTATATTATTTTTCAAAGTGTCAGAAATGGATAACAAAACTGCTATTTTCAATGACTACTTATTTTTGTCCAGCTTTAACATCAGTATCGATATCGGTTATCGGCTACATGAGTTTTAAAATATCGGATATCGGCCAAAATCCCAATATCGTGCTTCCCTACTTTTAAGCCCAGCACTCTCCCTGACAGCCAGATTCCCTCTGAGAGGAAAAAATACATTTTTGTATTATTTGGCCACTTTCTGTGCCAGAATCCCATTTCCTCCTAGCTCACTGCTCACTATAGCCTTTGTGGAAAAAACATGCTTCATCTTATTCAGTCCAAACTTCCTTGACTTATAGTCAAGATATCGATCTATAAATTCTGAGGGTTTATTCAGAGTTTCAAATGGGGTTTAATTCATTTTGGAAAAAAGTTTGGCTAAATATTTTTCTTCGTTTAATAACCTATAAATCAGATATGATGACGTTTAAAATAGTGAAAATAATCCTCAATGCCTTTCTGTTATACAAACACAAACAATTTTATTTCCAGTTTATAGCTTGGGAGCTGGACTTGCTTTAATTCATAGATGTATTTTCAGTCAGAATTTGCTCCTAAGACCCTTAAAGGCTTAAGAAGTTACTTATATCCCAGATGTTCTCGTCTGAGAGGAAATCAAACAGGCTGCGTTCAGGTATCCGTGGCTGTCGCGGTGAACCTAGAAACTCTGACGGATGAATAAACCTCAGCTCGGCTCTAACCCGGTGGGATTATCTTCCAGCAGCCCAGCGATTGTCTCTGTGATGTCAGTCATCTTCCTGATCCTAGTTTACATCAGCTGGAGGAATCTATCACATAACGATGACTCTATTGGTTTAAAGTTACGTCGGTCCTCCG